TTTTAAGATTTTTATTACTATGCGTGACTACAACTACAGTATTTAAATGTATAACAAAACAATTATGAGATTCAGTTTTTGTGATATCCGAAATAATCAAGGTCTCAGTTAGTGTTATCAGTCTTAGCCTTCGGCTTCGGCTTCATCTGATAACACTTACCTCAACCTTGATTATTCCGGATATCACAAAAACCTCATCCAATAAATTGTTTATTATTTATTATACGACTAAGTTAGTTCAGAGGGCCAATAACTAAAATCAACCAATTGGATTGCTCCATTGCCAGTCCAATATTTTCTAAGAGTTGGGCCAGGAACTGTCCTAAATGATCCTACAAGATCTCTCTTAATTTTGAAGACTCAGTTGTGTAACAAATCTCTTATTAACCAAGCCTGCTCAGGACTGTACTGGGAGAATAACGGTCCTCAACCTTTTCTGTATGGACTGAGCACAGCAAGGTACTTACTGTCAAGACCTTGGACCAATTCTATTCTCCCAGTACAGCCCTTGCATTTGGTTAATAAGATAAGATATATATATATACCAGTATTAGTACGAAATCAGTGATATCGATACTAATCCAAGAAAATCAATTAGGAAGACTGCGGCTATTTTATCTTCTCGACCCTGAAAAGAGAACAATTTAAAAGAAAAGCTCCACCAATTCAGCCACAAAAATGCATATTTTACATATTCCACCATTCTCCCATCCCACCCCCAAACCAAGGAATTTACTGGTATTGGCATGGAGAGGGGGGAGGGGAGGGACACTTGGTTACCATAATGAGGAGAATTTGTCATATACCATTGAGGCCCACTTAATCAACAAAATCCAAAAGATAGCCAAGTTTTGCCTCTCAACTCTCCGAAAAAGCTATATAAAAAGTAGAGCTCTGCCAATTCAACCCAAGTACATTTGTTTAATATTCCAACTTTTTCTTTCTGGAAAATGCAGAAAAAGTTTCTTTTGTATCACAGAATCAGGTTTCATTCTTCAAGAAGAATTAGTGACCATTAATATAACAACCATGAGAGTAAAATAAATGACCTATAATAATTATTGTGTTTTGGAAATCTTAGGTCATGTTTTCAACTTGGATCACATACACTGTCTGTTCCAGTCAGTCTTCATGCAACCAATAGAAAGCATTTATGTGACCGTCTAAAAAAGGCCAAAGGTGTACCATCAGGAGCAATAGTTCTACTGCAAGGAGGGGAACAAAAGCAACAATACTGCTCTGATAGAGATATCCTTTTCCGGCAGGTAAATTTATCTTACACTGGACTATTAAACGACCCTGGCTAACTAGGATCTCTTTAAAAATTAGTGAGCCTGAATGGCTTATCCTTCAAGATTGTAAAAACGTTTATCAAAAAGTTGACCAGGTGTTTTTTCTTTTGATAAGCTAATATGTTTGTCTCGCTAAGTCCCACATATGCTGCAAGTATTTGCAAAGTAAATTATTTTGTTTTCATGGCTGTCATACAATTTTGCTCTTTTTCAGGAGTCCTACTTTCACTGGACCTTCGGTGTTCTGGAACCTGACTGTTTTGGTGCTGTGGAAGTGGATACAGCACGTTCAATCTTGTTTTGTCCACGACTACCTGCATCATATGCCATCTGGATGGGAAAGTAGATGTTACAAATTATAATACCATTGATCATCTAACATTATAATTATGATTATATGATTGTTTAATATGAAATACCCACATTTGTTGACCATAATAATTATTTATACTTCAAATCATCTTTGAGTAGCTGGGAAGTTATCAATGGAGCAAAATCAGGGCATAGAAGTCTCAGACCAATATAGAGTTTAAAACAGAGACCTGAGTTTCCATGCATGTAAAAATTGATGACTCTACACATGGTTTGAAGTATTTGGTTTGACTCATTAAATTTTTGTGTTCAGTTGCTTCACTAACCAAGACTGTTTGTCTGAGACACGCCTGGAAAATTTTCTGGTCTGTTTAATCTTTGGCCATTTCCTGGTGAGCTGTTACCAGATTAAAACAAGGTGGCTACTGAGTAATTTCACCAGCTCAAAGAGAGCTTATCCCCAGCTTAAAAAAGAACATTATTTTCTCTTCTCTTTTGTGTCAGGATTCACAGCCTTGAGCATTTTAAGAAGAAGTATGAAGTTGATGAAGTCTTCTTTACTGACGAGGTATGTGCAAACCCTTTTTCCACTTAAGAGAGGAAATTTTAAAGCTCCTGATCTTGGAATGATATCAAAACTGTTAGTTGTATGTCTTTTTTGAATAACATGAATTCTCACAAGCAACATTGTACTTGAAGTTATATCATGGTTGAGTGACTTGCTGCAAGTACAATGTATGTTGTGGTTTATAACAGTAGATAGATTACTCAGTTTTTTAATTAGCACGTATGGACTTTGTTACAAATCTGTTTCATGGAACAACAAAAGGTTGGCCCGAAATCTCTGTCTATGTGCTGGTTTAAACGTATGATAATCAAAGTGCGTTATGTGCAAAGTCATGAATGTAAATGGTGAATGAAATTGTCCTTGGTCTGCATACATGTTCTTTAAATATGTGTAGTACTGTAGTCGTTCACCAACGTACCAAACAAATATTTGGATAAGTATCCATAACAATTAAAATGAACATCTCTTTGCGGCATACAAGGCTGTGGAACTCGATTCCATCAGTGAGGTAACCTGCCTTGCCATTGCCAAAAATCAGCGTAGTATGATTTTTTATGCAATCTTACCAGCCCTGCCATTTTGGAGTGAACATTCTCGAGGCCACCTTATGCATCAGTCAATCCCAACAGTGCCCATCCCAGCCCCTCCAGGCAATAGCTGGGCTATTAATCTTGAGTATATTATATTATATATACCTTTATTTTATTTAAGCCAGGGTAACCCAGTCAGAAGCAAGCTTTCTCTGACTGGAGTATGTATACACCATGAAGACATATGTACAACAATATAGTACACTGTGAATGGTAGTTTGTTAAATAAATGTTACCACTGTCATTATTAGATAGCTGAAGTGCTGCAAAAGAAGTCACCATCCATCTTATTGACACTGGTAATTCCTGTTCTTGATCTTTTAAATAAATGCAGTTTAATTCTTCAGTTTCTTGTTATTTGTCAAGGAAAAGAGCTCCAAACCCATATGATTTGTAATCAACATACTAGCAAAACTCCATACTGCCCTCTGGCATCTCTTGTTTTGGAATTTTTGTTTAATCTTTAACGGAAGTATTGCTTTGTGTTGAAGAACTCCTAGCTGTGCATTGAAGTCACTAGTTAAACATGTACATGTAAATTATACATTTTTTATGTATTAAGATATGCTCCCTTACCAAAAAAAAATTTCATGCATACATGTATACATACAGACTTACAAACATAATTTATTAGTTAACATCAGTCAAATAGGTGGCAACTATATAGCTGATGTGTCAATATTAGTTGGTATAGTGTGATTGTACAGGTGAAAGTAGCTCTGAAAAGAACTGTTGTTGGTGACTGACACTTTGACAACCTGAGCGAAAGTCATCTTCAGAATTGATAGTACATGGATAATGTTTGGAAAGTCAAAGGGCATTTCTTTCTTTGAGTTTGTTTTTACACTGCTTCCACAAAACTGCCTACATCACTGACAGAGTCGTGAATTTGTTATAGCGGAGCTCCGATACCCTGAAGGGCTGCCAAGCAGGACTTCCTAACTATTACCTGAACAGAACCACGTGCACGCACAGAAATAGAAAACCATGCAACTCTTTTTTTCATGGTCAACATGGTTAGCAGCATGGATTGTAGGCTGGTGCGCCCTACGATAAAAAAAAAACTACAACAAGGATAACGTCATGTAACATAGCGGCTGTACTCCAGCTAATAGGCTAATAGGCATGCAGCCATGGTTTACAGCATACATGTTTGATATTGGTCATCCATGTTAGGATCAATTGACACCTGTCAAAACAAGGTATCCAATGACCAGTTTCACATGATCTCCAGAAGGCTCAGGTTGAGAGCTCATCGAGGTCATGTGGGTTTTTTTTGGAGTTGACCACTGACCAAATACTGGTTTTCGATTGGATTGCAGGCTCAAGCTAGGATAATTTATTGTAATAGGAGCTAAGCTTTTAAGCCTAAATCTAAATCTATATATTTTTATAACACCAAGAAAAATCTATATATTTTTATAACAGAGCTATGCTTCATCATTCTGTTTAAGTTGTTCATTTGTTTGTAGCTTGTTTGCCATAATTACACATGTTATTTGCCATTGCAGCGTGGTCTTAACACTGATTCTGGACACTATTGCAGAGAAGCAGCATTTGATGGCATAAGCAAGTAGGTTTCATTATTTTGTTGATGTGTAATTTTAGTAACAGGACAGAGTAGAGTCAAGTTTACTGTCCAGTGATTAACAATTTGGATAACCATGAAGCAGGAGTCTCTTTTGTTTAGTTGGAAGTTTGACTCCAGACTAAATTGGACAAAGTAAAGTCCTGTCACCAATACTTGTATTAAAGAAAATCACAGGAAAAAAATGTTGAAGGGTTCAACTATTTGGCAAGTAAAATTCATTGAATTGTCTTCAAGATCCACCAGAGAGGGAACCCATTCCAGGCCAACTGTCCTACAACAGAGAATATACAAATGATGTTTACTGTCCAATAACACATTCAGGCATGACGTCCAATAAATTTAAAATAGGGCCAGCTGATAGCCTTTCAGATTTAAGAAATAATGTTGTAAAATATGTTTTCAACCTAGTTGCATTGTATATAAAGCCTGAATTTCCAACAATATACAAACCCTGTTGGATTATGTCCTAAATCTATTTTGTGTCACTGTAGGTTCAGTGTGGACAATAAGATTTTGCATCCTGAGATAGCTGAATGGTAATTGATCACTTTTTGTTAGTTTGACTTTCTTTTTCTGATTTATTCAAGGCTTCTTGGTGTACTAGACACAAAAATAAAATAAACAAAATATGAGGAAAAACTACTGCGCCAAATGCAAAGGTTTACAAACCTTGGTACTGTAAAGCCATGAACTACCATCAATGTGTCTAGTGCACAAAGTAGCAACCCCTTGTTTGAGTTCTAGTGAATTCAGAATGATTTGTCATCCCAGTTTCTCTCTCAAGAGAGCAGAGAGAGTCAGCTTTATCAGATTTAATTAGCTCTAACTTTCTTTCATGATAAAACTATGTTATTCTGACATATTCTGGATAATGTTTGTATTTTATGCTTTCTGGTTGTAGCCGTGTGTTTAAGACCCCTCAGGAGCTTGAGGTGATGCGCTTTGCAAACAGGGTCAGCAGTGAAGCCCACAAAGAGGTGATATTTTTTTACCAAGTCACCTGCCAGCTGCTAGTGTTTAGTTTATAGATTTTTTCCCTGTGATTCTGTAGCTACATTCAACTTTAATAAATTAGTCCAAAATTAATACAAACACACTTTAAGTCCACTGGCAACTTTTTGTCTTCTCAAATCTCATTTTGTAATTTCAGGTAATGAAACGTATTAGACCTGGAATGACTGAGTTTGAATTAGAAAGGTAAAATATACTTTAATTTTCTGGAAAGTCACCACATTTCAAGAAGGAAAGTTGCAGAAAACCAAATAATTAATATGTAATAGCTAGGACTTTAACGGGTGATTCCAGAAAATATCCATACCACACCACAGGCGGCATGAACATTTGAACCTCCCCCATCTGCCTTGGCAAATACCAAAATGCTCTACCCCCCATGCCCTCTGAATTCCAAATTTGTTAACCCCCTCCCTTCCAGATTTCTGTTTTTTACTTGAACCCTCTGGAATTCCTTGTTTGTCTCCTTGGGACTTCCAACAAAAGACATTTTACACTTTTACATCTTCCCAGAAGTTTTTGCTAATAATTCTCAGCCAAACAACTATTTACAGGGCTCGAAATTGCGACCAAAATGATTGCATACATTTGTGACTAAATGTTTGGCAACTAAAACTCCCTCCTCTTCAGTCGCAATTTTGTAACTAGTTTTTGACTAAACTGTAGAAGAAATGAAAATTTTAATTGTTTTGTGCACTAGTTACTATCAAATGGAAATAAGACCACAAGTGGGCAAATTGTGCCTAATTTACCTTCAATATTACAAAAGATATTCACTTGATCAGACGTGATTGCAGTGGTTTCTTTATGTGTATATATTGCTGGTGCATAGTAACCAAACAAGCCAGGTTGTCTTTCATAGCAAATGATTAATCTGAAAAGAAATTCATCAACTTTAAGTTCTCTGGAGCCCAAAGTACAACCCAGATTTTATCAGCTTTCTTCTTTAAATGAACGCAAACGCATGCACGATCGATCAATGCTTGTCTTTTACCTTGCTTTCCATGGTTATCAGCAGTGTTGTCAGTTTGTTTGTGCCAAAAAATGTCTGTCCCCTCTAAAATCTAGAAATTCCTTCCCCCATGCCCTCGGAATTCCAATCGTAAGTTCCCCCATACCTTTGGATTTCCAGTTCAAAGAACTCCCCCTTGCCCAGAGAATTCAAAAAAGCTGCCCGTGGTATAGGTATGGATATTTTCTGGAATCACCCAATATAGGTGTGTTTGGAATATTATTGTTTCCTGATTGGACTTGTGCCTAGTGACCTTTTTAGTAAAAATTTCTCATTTTAAGCTGCAAAGAAAAAAACTAGGAAAATATGTCATGTGTAAGAAACAGTTTTATTGAGAACCGAACCCAGGTTCTTCACAGCAATATTCAGCTAATGTGCAGTTCCAGAAAATATCCATACTCTCCTCACAGAAGGGATTGGAATTTCCTGGGGTGGGGGGGAGGGGGCTATAAGACTGAAACATTTAAAGAAATGCATGAAGCTTAACTGGAATTTCCAGAGGGGTGGAGGCATCATAAAAGCCCTTCCATGGGGGAGGTATGGATATTTTACAATAAGGAGAACTATATTGACATTTTGGGAATGAAAGGATTTATGTGAATTTTGGAGTCCTGGAAACATCATTCAGGTCCTGGAAAAGTCCTGAGAATTTGTTTCTGAAAAAAGATATGAACCTTCCAAGGAAGGATCAACTTTGAGTTGTGTTATGTACTGATTATGTTATTTAACTAGCATGAGGTCTGTATATATATCTTTATTTACCAAGTGGGAGGGCATTACTTGCAGTATATCAGCCCAAGGTCGTGGCAGTAGACTGTCAAGACTGAGGGCTAATATTCTCCCAGTATGGTCCCAAGCAAGCAAGCATGAGTAAAAATGTCTAGAAACAAAATGTCATGATCACAGACTGGAAAAAGGTATAAATTCTGATTGGAAGCCTACTGAGCACATACTCACATCATTCTGATGTCAAACAAAACAGAGGGAAAAGAGAGTTGGAAAAAATAATATTAGGAATCTGTTAGGTTTAAAGCAAGTTCTGTTAGAGATGTAAGCCATAAAACAGCCAACAGATTTTCAAGAGTGATTGTGCAGGATCATTTGGGACAGTGCCAGTCCAATATTGGACCAGCAATGGTGCAATAATGTTTTTTTTAGTTATTGGCCTCCTGAACTAACGTAATCATGTCATAATGGGAAAATATTGACCAAGTTATTTTTTGTAAGTTCATGGATCAAGCCGTAGGTCATCTTTCCGAACAGTTTCTGAAAAATCTTGCAATTAATCTAGAGGTTGAGTTCCTACATGTATATTCTTTATTTTACAGCTTATTCCTGCACTACTGTTACTCGCAAGGTGGCTGTCGAAATGTGGCTTATGCCTGTATTGGAGCAAGGTATGAAGTTTTTTTAAGTGCATGTGGAATGGTAACTGGATTGCTGTGACCTCAACATCCTGCATGAACCAAAATTATGTTCTTCATGCACTAGAAATGCGACTTCAGACGTTTTGAAATTGGCTTTTCACTTGATCTTTCCTTACTCTCAACAAATCATGCAGATTCTTTCCATAAAAGATGCAATTGAAACTGGAAATATTGGAGTGTTTGTATGACTTAATTGTATTTTAATACCTTCCTTTGACACCTTCAGATTCAGTAGTATAACAACTTTTTAGGTTATTGTGCTCTAGCATTTTCTGCAAAAACAGGCCTGTTTTCTTAGTTTTTTCCTTGTTAATGGCAATGCTAGTGGGCCTCAGCAAGGAGCAGGATATAAATTACTTTGATGTCTACTTTTTGATAGTGGCCACAATTGTGCTACCCTTCATTATGGCCATGCAGGAGCACCAAATGACAAGTTAATCTGTGATGGGGATATGTGGTGAGTACCCTTTGATCTAAATATAAAGCATCATAGCATCCCTGTATTCGTTTGCACGCATTGCGAGCCTATGATTGCAACACAGACTCTCTTGACCACATGTCTTGCTGTACAAGTACTTTAAGTACGTTAAGATGATTTGCCACGTAATGTAAATAAATTTCATTGATAAATTTGCTTTCAACTCGGTTAAGTCAGGCTTGCAGATATTTCCCTATAACACAGCTATTTCAAAAGTCGAATTGTGTTGTTATCGGTTTAGCGTGATGTAAATATCTCGAATTTTGATTGGTCCTTTTATAAATGATCTATCGCAGAACAGCTGTATAGGTGACCCCATTAACAATTTGTAGATCACAGAAGATGTCAGAATGTGCTGAGAACATCAGTGACACACTTGGCTAATGGCTAATGGTCACCTTTTTGTTCTTACTGCATTTTGATGTCATCTGTGATCTGTTACTGAACAGACACATTACAACATGGAATCTAGTTGTTAATCACATGTCGTCCTCTATGATCTATTCTGTAGCTTGTTTGACATGGGTGGAGAATACTACTGCTATACGTCAGACATCACATGTTCATTTCCAGCCAGTGGGAAGTTCACAAAGGATCAGCGCATGATTTATGAAGCAGTGTACAAAGCAAGTCGTGCAGTAATGGCAGCTGTTAAGCCTGGTGAGTTCTTAGGAACTTCAGATTCCACTTATCTGGCTTGCTTAGACCGGTTTTCAAATCAACTGCAAAGTAAATCTTTGAGCCAATTTTGACAAAATTTCTATACAGCTTTTTACTCATTGTGAGTGGTTCTACTCGTGACTGCGTATGAAGAATACCTGTAAGAAGAGAAGTTTGAAAGAAATTATTTGTGGAAAGGTATAATGAGCCAGTAGAGGAATCATTATTTAATTTATTTGTCTCATTAGCATAAGATAAGGGTTTCATTTTCTGATTGAGTTACAAAATATATCAAGCCTAATATTGAAAGTGCTTGCAAGATTGATTGTCCCAAGGAATTTGAGCCCAATGTGTTTTTTTTTGTGTGATGTGGGCTTAAAACTCAAAATAAGTGCCTTTCCAAAACCCAGGAATGTTGTAGTTTTAAAAAGCTAACATCTTCAATATTGCAGCCTAAGAGCTAACAGTTTTACCAATTACTAACTTTTACAAGCTCTTTAAATGTTTGGAGTCAACGATGCCTTCTCTGCACAAAGTCTTGTGCTAATGAGGGAAAATAGCTACTGATTGCCTTAACTGGTGTCAAGTGAATGAGGATCATGTATCTTACAGGTGTAAAATGGACTGACATGCATCGACTGGCAAACCGTGTTCAGCTGGAGTGTCTTAGAGACGCGGGGCTCTTACGGGGCGAAGTGGATGACATGATGAAGCTCCATCTTGGGGCCGTTTTCATGCCTCATGGTCTGGGACATCTCATGGGACTTGATGTTCATGACGTCGGTGGATACCCAGAGGTACTTTATTTATTTCCTTTTTTTACGTAGCGGTATGAAGAGTGCATTGCTCTTTACCTTGCCTCTTTTCTTGTCCGTTTTCGCCGTGTTATTTTTTATAAAGTTTTTCTCACAATGTTCTGTCCAATCCACCCAGGGTACTGAGCGGGTAGACGAACCAGGCCTCCGCTCGCTCAGAACTACCCGTGTGCTAGAAGAGAGTATGGTACTGACCATCGAACCAGGGATCTATTTTATTGATGCCGTAAGTAACCAGTATTCAGTGACACTTAAACCAGTTTTCTATAACCCTGCCTCCTTTTCGTTTTACAAAGAAACAGACGGTGTGATTGCACTGAATGATGTTATTGTTTTTCTGTTTATAGACCTTGAACCCTGCTTTGGAGAATCCTGAAACAGCCCGGTTCTTTAATCAAGAAATGCTGCAGCGATTCCGAAATTTTGGAGGGGTGAGTAGTTGCACTCATCTCTCTTCTTCGATGATTAATCCTATTAATACCCAAGACGAGTTCTCAGACGTCTGGGTAAGAGTGGTCTAATCTGCTGATGTGAAGAATTCTTTTTTTAGTCGACAAAGGTTTCCTCTGAATCATATTTGAAATCGTTCCTCCTGTCTTACTCAATAAAAATGTACCAACTAACACATCACTCTTCTCTTCAGGTTCGTATTGAAGATGATATCGTGGTGACGTCAGACGGTATGGAGCTGATGACGTGTGTGCCACGCACCGTGCATGAAATCGAGACTCTGATGGCTGAAGGAGCTGATCTCCCGCCCCAGTTCCCCACTTCCGTTTCCTCAGAAGGAGCAAATTAATTTGTAACCTTTCGGAATGCGAGTGACTAGGAACTCGGCGTGTCTGTATTCATATCTAACATGTCGTGAAAATAGTAATCAGCCTGATTAATTCAGTCGAATGAAACTGATTGATTCATAGTTTGAAACCCGCTACCCCGGACGCGGAGACCAAAATTTATCTGATAACAGTTCGCATACATCGCTAATGTTCGTTTAGCACAATGAACACTCAAGAGATGTCAGCCGTAACCTACAAAAAGTGCCAGAAGCCGGCAACGTTTCAAAATTGTAGCACATAGATTAGTGGTCCAAAATAGGATTGCAGGCAGAATGAATCTATGCTACCTCGTGTATCACATTTACCTAAGGAACAAATTAAATTAATCAGATTTAATATAGTGAATTAAAGATATTTTTGATAGTAGATTGTTCGTGGCTAGTCTTACGCAGCTCGTTTCGTCCCGGCCAAGGTACTCATCAGAGCCGGGGACGAAACGAACTGCGTAAGACTAGCCACGAACAATGTATTATCACAAGTAACTGTCAACTTTATAGTCAAAGATATTTTTATCGAGTAAATGCGATGCTACTATATAGGAAATGTATTTTCGAATAAATGCTTTTCATTAAAATGTATGTGATTGTAGCTGTAAAGATTTAATCCCACGTAACCTTGACTTTTTACGGGTTCATTGATTTCCCATGACCATAAAAACGTCTGAAATGTGAGAGAACTGGAAGTGAACGACTTCAGTTACGTATTTGGGTTGAACAGCGTACGTGTAAGCCTGAAAAATATCACTTTCTAAAGAACCAGTTGGGCAGCACGAAAGCAAGCCAGTGAAACACTTAGTTATTAAAATTTTATTAGAGAGTTTAAGAAAACCACGTCGCTAAACAAAAGGTTTAATGAGCAGAACAATAGCTGTGCACGTGCGTTATAATTCTTGGTACATTTCTTTGCGGTCCTCTGGAAAACAACTTGAAATGACCAAATTCTACGTTGTCCGGAGAACGTGAACTACGACGGCTAATTTTCTATTGTTATTTCAAATGTTTCGCCGGCCGTATCCTAGATTCAGTGTCGTAATAGTTTTGACACTGAGAAACGAAGGAAAATGAGTTTAGAGTATCGCGAGATTCGTAGGTAAATGTAAAATAATTTTTTGAACCGTTGACCTAGGCGTCGCGTCCTGGTTTCTTAAACTTCCTATTTTTTAAATTATCTATTAACCGCCCTAGCGAGTGAAGCTAACGTTTTGAGTGTTAGCCCTGGCTCAGAGAAAAGCAATTCTTTCACCAAACAAAGTGATCGTTTTACTAAGTAGACATGGAAAATGTTAAATAGGGGATGGCTAAAACTAATTTCCAAAGAAGAAGGCAGTGTTAAGGACGACTTTGGAGATGCTCATTACCAAGGCTTGCTTCTTCACCGTCCACTGAGGAACAAAGCACCAGATAGGTCATAGATTTTGAAAACTCGTCCTTTTGAAAACGCTGATTTACTTGTGCTACTGTAAAATATTATGTTATATTTAGTATTCATTTTAATTTTAAGATTTAAGACGTGAATAAAAAAAATTTTCCAAAGATAAGTCGACAAACGGTAATTTATACACTCCAGATCTCTAAAATTCACCTGACTAACAGCTCTTAATTTATAGCCCCTGAAAAACCAGAGAGGTTGTCAAGAAAACAATTTTATCAATTTAAAAATACTTTCCACAGTATTCCGAGCACACGCATCAGTGTTTCAAGGCAGAAAACGAACCAGGTCCGATTGCCCGGATCAAGCTCTTGGACAACTGAAAATGGAAGTGTGGTGGTCCGCTGGGCAAGTGAAAGTAGCCTATGTAGTATTGTTAGTGATAATTTACAATCAAGAACAATTTCAAAACTTAAGACTGCAAGATGAGCTAAACAATGAGTTGAAAGCAAGAATTGAACATTGTACTCCTATTGAACAAGTAATATTTTAGTGGGGCAACCGAAAACTGGAGTGTACTGGCCCAGTAGATACTGGATTTCAACAATTTTTTCCTGCCCTGTGTTTCCAAAGCAAATTGTGCTTCGCAGAGGCCAAAACGTTTTTTTTTCTAAAATTTTAGAGCGCTTCTTTCTTACGAGCGCTCAAACAGAAAACAACGTCAACTGTTCTCCCGTTTCTGCAGGCTTTTGATGGACGTATAAATATTCATTTCCCGCGAAAAAGTGCAAAGATGGAAGTTACATTGGTTTAAGACAGTTAATGCCAGCGACAGAACGTAAACATTAAAGTGTCTTAATCTTCACGACTTCCGAATAAATGTAATACTTTAACTTTATTTTAAATTGACAAGAGGCATTGAGATTCTCGAAAACCGCTCCTATGTATAGATATCTTCCTTGCACTTAGCAATTCAATACAAGTGAATTTAAAAACATACATTTAACGCTGAAATTTGAACGGGATAATTAAAAAAACAAAAATTTTAAGCATATTACATTTGTCCATGGTTCTCCACACAAATCACAAATTTGTTGTCATTCTTTAGTTTCATTAGAATTCATGCCAAAATTTTAAATGATACCACTAAAAAGCTATGTTTACAGAATTTTAGCTTTTAAATTATCCGGCATGATTGAGGGAGAAATGAATTCTCCAAGTCTTAGTAAGACTAATATCATAATCAACGTTAATTCAGTTGTGCTGTAGGGAAGTGCAGCCAGGATTTGAGATGAGCAGCATATTTTGAAGCCTTTGGTGTTTTCTCGCATCTTGCCTGGTCCAGTGTTAATGGCAGTGGCCCGTTCCTATGCTAACCGGCCTCGCAGTCCTTCGCTATTGCCTAGCAACAAACCACTGTCAGCTGGTGTCCTGGGGCGAGGGTGGTACACTATGGTCCTCGAGGACCCTATCTTGAATGCGCCTCCTGCACATGGGACAGTCTTCAACTTGCAGAGCGCACCTCATACAAACGTCCCTATAAAAAAGACCGTGGAGGTTTAATGGATTAATACGTTCCCTCACCGTAGGAATATACGCAGAAAAATGTTGCCCCGGCAACGAATTTACTTGCCACCAGCTTCCGCTTTTATAGAAATAACGACTGCAATTTATTCAAGCTAGAAGATCGCTCTTGTCTTATACAATGATAACGTTCCTACTGACTAAACAGAACCCAGAATGTATACAACACTTCTAACCCATGTTATAAATCAGCAAGGGAGGGGAGGGAGGTAGACCGCTGTACGTTCTGTTTGACTTACCGGTGATTACAGGGTTCCAATCTGGTATCAACAGCGCGTTCAAAACATATTTTACACGGATCACCGGTTACACTCTCTTGGCGAATAGCAGCTAGCTTCAAATTCCTACAAATGAGTTCAACGACAGGTTATTTCAAGATGTGTTACTAGCGTAGTAAAGTGAGATGGATTTAATTTAAGAACGGTAAAATGCCTCACCCAAGATGGTGGTACTTTAAGAAAATAGCAAGTTAAACCAATAAGCATGAAGGCTTTGAAACGCGCGAGGAACGTAGTACGAGAAAAATGACGACCATGTCTTCGTTCTTACCTTGGTAAGATTACTTTGTCTTCCGCTTTCATGTTTGCGAAATCGTTAAAACTCTGGAATGTTACCTGCGGAGGAAACCTGCAATTGGCAAAGATCACGATTTTAAAAACAAAAGAGCATGGGCATAATCAAAAGGGCTTTGTAGTAAATTCGATAAATACAGAATTAAGAAAAGCTACGAGGGTAGGTGAAAAGGTGACTGGAGCTCTTGTTTACAAACTTACTTGAAGGGATCAGCTCCAAAATTGAAAATGCAATGCTGAAAAGACATAAAACTTGCAGCAGCGAAGAATCCAGCTCTGAAATAAACAAAGGTGATCACAGATAAGAGCAGTTTTCCAGTGGTGTGAGATAAATTACTTGCAAAACACTTCTAACGTTAAAATTTCGGACAACTCGGACAAATTTCGGACACTGCGCTGAAACATAGCTAAAGACAAACCACGAATTCCACTGAAACAACAACTGTGACAATGAAAGTTTTACTGCACTCTCAAGGTTTTACGAATACACCGAGGAGAAAATAGCACAAATTCCATCAAGCCGTTACGTATGCTCCATGAAGCCCGGCATAAAGGAAGGTAAGAGCTTTGGAGCTACTTCAAAGTTTTATACTGTACTGTAAATATTTCGGATGCTTGAGAATTTCGGACGGTTTTATTTTCGGACACTTTTTTGTCCGAATCAAAATCGTCCGAAATTTTTTGAAAGTCATGTCGTAAGTATACACTTATACACAAAATACCGAATAAGTAGCGTCTCCTTCTTTCCTGCCCGCGAAGAGTCTGCTCACGGACGAGTGAGTCTGCTCCCCACCCCACCCAGGAGTTCAGGGATATGTGTCGTTCTCCATCACTAAATCAAGGAAATGTTTCCCTGCCGGCTGAGCTTGCAAAAGAGGCAGGAATTGAAGTTCTCCCACACTGAATGAGGGACCTGGGTACGAGTCAGGATGTCAGTTTCGCGCTCCGTCACGTGATTCAGTTTTTCTTTTCTTGTCGGACAGTGCAACAGTTTTCCCACCCTCCAAACCCTTAGCGAGTTCTTGCCTAAAGTTTATAGTAGTGTATCAACGTTTGGGTAGTTTTTTCCTGTTGTTGACTCCGATTCTGTTATCGCAGACAAATGGCATTCAGTGTGTGAGAATGATATTTTTTTCATCTTCCTAGGCGGATTTTCTCTTCTTCAATAATTGAAAAAATGCTTCTCAATGTGACTAGGAATTGACTTACCCTGAAAGTGCCGCTTTAAAATCTCTTTCGATGGCATTTCCATTCAACGAAAAAGCTACTTTCCCTCTCTCTAAATCTATAAGAAGTCCCAGCACATCACCTGAAAGTAAAGGACATCTTAATCTTTTTTTAATCCCACAGCTATACTCCAAAAACACTCTTAGGTCAAAGGGAAAAATATTTAAGTTGTTTGGATCCATTGATGACATGCACCAGCACTCCATGGCGGGATGGGTAACCTCTGCCATGTAAAAACGTAGATGTAGATGTGGACTGACCTGGTATCCACGGGCGGTGATGGTGAGGTGTGCTTCTGGCACCATGCCATATTAGCTGCCTGCAGCCATCATATGCATAAGAGAACTCATCATCACCGATACCATACCCTTCCTGGATCAAAAAAGGTTACAAGTTATTAACTATCTACCCCGCTTTTGTTTATAATGAATTACAACACGATCAAAGGACCTAACGATCCACAGTTCTTTTCCCCTGGTCAGCTATAAATCCGCCAAAGGTGATATCAATCCACGACTCTGTCCCCTGGTCTCTGTTTAACCGAGCAGTTAAGTGGACACTATCAAGTACAGCTAAAAGTGGGGAGCTTTATGTGACAGAGAGCCTGTTCACAGGCAAGTACACCGGTGTAACCAAATAAATGGAGAAAAACCGGAGAAGACCCGGCACCAACAACTCGACTACAAAGCAAGCAAATTGATCCAGGAATTAATGTATCATTCAAGGAAGGTCTTGCCAAGACTTACATGGTTGAGAAACTTGCTGTCTTTTGTGGCCCACCCAATCTGCATTACACCTGCTGTTAGGAGGATTACTTCATAATACCATACACCTGAAAACATATTAAACCTGCTATTAATTACCAAGATAGTCCATGTGGAATAGTACACAAGCAAAACATCAAAACTGATAAACCAGTAGACACAAGTCTACCTTTGTTCAGCCATTTCTAGACTGTTATTGAACATAGTGATACCACCTCTCTCATGATTTCAAATAAAACTATCATACTCACCTGAAGAGACAGAAAATGTACAACGCACACTTTCAAATGATGATGCATCACACCTTGCCTGAAATACCAAATGAGTTGTATCAAATAATTCATCAAGTTTAAACAAAGGAAATCATGACCCCGAAAATGTTTGGATAAAGCGGTTTTCACTTCAGTGACAAAAAGTAATTGGCTTTACATGAAGATGCTACATGACTAGCTTAAACATTCACACCACATCCATTAAAACCAGAATTAAAACCAAACATAAACCAATATAAATTGTGTATTTACTTTGAGTTTTGATCGTTTCATTGAAATGTCTGTGTTCCTTTTGTGATTGGCTAGTGATCACTTTGGATTTGGTTTTATGACACTCAAATGAAAACTACTCTTGACTATCTGATCTTATTAGCATAGATTTTCAAGTTCTTATTTCTCCATTTTCTCCTTAGTTTTAGTTTTGATAGGCTGCATTCAATACATCAATATTCTTACATGGCTCCAAGGTTTTAAGGTGACAAACTTCTATAATTTGGTTGTGTTCTCTTTGTATCCAAGTGGGAAATTGATGGACAAAAGAAACTTTAAAAAATTGCAATTTTGTCCTGAAAGCCTTGGAGCCATGTTAGAATATTGATATATCACAGCTTACCTACTGAGAGGANCAAAAGGTTTAATGAGCAGAACAATAGCTGTGCACGTGCGTTATAATTCTTGGTACATTTCTTTGCGGTCCTCTGGAAAACAACTTGAAATGACCAAATTCTACGTTGTCCGGAGAACGTGAACTACGACGGCTAATTTTCTATTGTTATTTCAAATGTTTCGCCGGCCGTATCCTAGATTCAGTGTCGTAATAGTTTTGACACTGAGAAACGAAGGAAAATGAGTTTAGAGTATCGCGAGATTCGTAGGTAAATGTAAAATAATTTTTTGAACCGTTGACCTAGGCGTCGCGTCCTGGTTTCTTAAACTTCCTATTTTTTAAATTATCTATTAACCGCCCTAGCGAGTGAAGCTAACGTTTTGAGTGTTAGCCCTGGCTCAGAGAAAAGCAATTCTTTCACCAAACAAAGTGATCGTTTTACTAAGTAGACATGGAAAATGTTAAATAGGGGATGGCTAAAACTAATTTCCAAAGAAGAAGGCAGTGTTAAGGACGACTTTGGAGATGCTCATTACCAAGGCTTGCTTCTTCACCGTCCACTGAGGAACAAAGCACCAGATAGGTCATAGATTTTGAAAACTCGTCCTTTTGAAAACGCTGATTTACTTGTGCTACTGTAAAATATTATGTTATATTTAGTATTCATTTTAATTTTAAGATTTAAGACGTGAATAAAAAAAATTTTCCAAAGATAAGTCGACAAACGGTAATTTATACACTCCAGATCTCTAAAATTCACCTGACTAACAGCTCTTAATTTATAGCCCCTGAAAAACCAGAGAGGTTGTCAAGAAAACAATTTTATCAATTTAAAAATACTTTCCACAGTATTCCGAGCACACGCACCAGTGTTTCAGGGCAGAAAACGAACCAGGTCCGATTGCCCGGATCAAGCTCTTGGACAACTGAAAGTGGAAGTGTGGTGGTCCGCTGGGCAAGTGAAAGTAGCCTATGTAGTATTGTTAGTGATAATTTACAATCAAGAACAATTTCAAAACTTAAGACTGCAAGATGAGCTAAACAATGAGTTGAAAGCAAGAATTGAACATTGTACTCCTATTGAACAAGTAATATTTTAGTGGGGCAACCGAAAACTGGAGTGTACTGGCCCAGTAGATACTGGATTTCAACAATTTTTTCCTGCCCTGTGTTTCCAAAGCAAATTGTGCTTCGCAGAGGCCAAAACGTTTTTTTTTCTAAAATTTTAGAGCGCTTCTTTCTTACGAGCGCTCAAACAGAAAACAACGTCAACTGTTCTCCCGTTTCTGCAGGCTTTTGATGGACGTATAAATATTCATTTCCCGCGAAAAAGTGCAAAGATGGAAGTTACATTGGTTTAAGACAGTTAATGCCAGCGACAGAACGTAAACATTAAAGTGTCTTAATCTTCACGACTTCCGAATAAATGTAATACTTTAACTTTATTTTAAATTGACAAGAGGCATTGAGATTCTCGAAAACCGCTCCTATGTATAGATATCTTCCTTGCACTTAGCAATTCAATACAAGTGAATTTAAAAACATACATTTAACGCTGAAATTTGAACGGGATAATTAAAAAAACAAAAATTTTAAGCATATTACATTTGTCCATGGTTCTCCACACAAATCACAAATTTGTTGTCATTCTTTAGTTTCATTAGAATTCATGCCAAAATTTTAAATGATACCACTAAAAAGCTATGTTTACAGAATTTTAGCTTTTAAATTATCCGGCATGATTGAGGGAGAAATGAATTCTCCAAGTCTTAGTAAGACTAATATCATAATCAACGTTAATTCAGTTGTGCTGTAGGGAAGTGCAGCCAGGATTTGAGATGAGCAGCATATTTTGAAGCCTTTGGTGTTTTCTCGCATCTTGCCTGGTCCAGTGTTAATGGCAGTGGCCCGTTCCTATGCTAACCGGCCTCGCAGTCCTTCGCTATTGCCTAGCAACAAACCACTGTCAGCTGGTGTCCTGGGGCGAGGGTGGTACACTATGGTCCTCGAGGACCCTATCTTGAATGCGCCTCCTGCACATGGGACAGTCTTCAACTTGCAGAGCGCACCTCATACAAACGTCCCTATAAAAAAGACCGTGGAGGTTTAATGGATTAATACGTTCCCTCACCGTAGGAATATACGCAGAAAAATGTTGCCCCGGCAACGAATTTACTTGCCACCAGCTTCCGCTTTTATAGAAATAACGACTGCAATTTATTCAAGCTAGAAGATCGCTCTTGTCTTACACAATGATAACGTTCCTACTGACTAAACAGAACCCAGAATGTATACAACACTTCTAACCCATGTTATAAATCAGCAAGGGAGGGGAGGGAGGTAGACCGCTGTACGTTCTGTTTGACTTACCGGTGATTACAGGGTTCCAATCTGGTATCAACAGCGCGTTCAAAACATATTTTACACGGATCACCGGTTACACTCTCTTGGCGAATAGCAGCTAGCTTCAAATTCCTACAAATGAGTTCAACGACAGGTTATTTCAAGATGTGTTACTAGCGTAGTAAAGTGAGATGGATTTAATTTAAGAACGGTAAAATGCCTCACCCAAGATGGTGGTACTTTAAGAAAATAGCAAGTTAAACCAATAAGCATGAAGGCTTTGAAACGCGCGAGGAACGTAGTACGAGAAAAATGACGACCATGTCTTCGTTCTTACCTTGGTAAGATTACTTTGTCTTCCGCTTTCATGTTTGCGAAATCGTTAAAACTCTGGAATGTTACCTGCGGAGGAAACCTGCAATTGGCAAAGATCACGATTTTAAAAACAAAAGAGCATGGGCATAATCAAAAGGGCTTTGTAGTAAATTCGATAAATACAGAATTAAGAAAAGCTACGAGGGTAGGTGAAAAGGTGACTGGAGCTCTTGTTTACAAACTTACTTGAAGGGATCAGCTCCAAAATTGAAAATGCAATGCTGAAAAGACATAAAACTTGCAGCAGCGAAGAATCCAGCTCTGAAATAAACAAAGGTGATCACAGATAAGAGCAGTTTTCCAGTGGTGTGAGATAAATTACTTGCAAAACACTTCTAACGTTAAAATTTCGGACAACTCGGACAAATTTCGGACACTGCGCTGAAACATAGCTAAAGACAAACCACGAATTCCACTGAAACAACAACTGTGACAATGAAAGTTTTACTGCACTCTCAAGGTTTTACGAATACACCGAGGAGAAAATAGCACAAATTCCATCAAGCCGTTACGTATGCTCCATGAAGCCCGACATAAAGGAAGGTAAGAGCTTTGGAGCTACTTCAAAGTTTTATACTGTACTGTAAATATTTCGGATGCTTGAGAATTTCGGACGGTTTTATTTTCGGACACTTTTTTGTCCGAATCAAAATCGTCCGAAATTTTTTGAAAGTCATGTCGTAAGTATACACTTATACACAAAATACCGAATAAGTAGCGTCTCCTTCTTTCCTGCCCGCGAAGAGTCTGCTCACGGACGAGTGAGTCTGCTCCCCACCCCACCCAGGAGTTCAGGGATATGTGTCGTTCTCCATCACTAAATCAAGGAAATGTTTCCCTGCCGGCTGAGCTTGCAAAAGAGGCAGGAATTGAAGTTCTCCCACACTGAATGAGGGACCTGGGTACGAGTCAGGATGTCAGTTTCGCGCTCCGTCACGTGATTCAGTTTTTCTTTTCTTGTCGGACAGTGCAACAGTTTTCCCACCCTCCAAACCCTTAGCGAGTTCTTGCCTAAAGTTTATAGTAGTGTATCAACGTTTGGGTAGTTTTTTCCTGTTGTTGACTCCGATTCTGTTATCGCAGACAAATGGCATTCAGTGTGTGAGAATGATATTTTTTTCATCTTCCTAGGCGGATTTTCTCTTCTTCAATAATTGAAAAAATGCTTCTCAATGTGACTAGGAATTGACTTACCCTGAAAGTGCCGCTTTAAAATCTCTTTCGATGGCATTTCCATTCAACGAAAAAGCTACTTTCCCTCTCTCTAAATCTATAAGAAGTCCCAGCACATCACCTGAAAGTAAAGGACATCTTAATCTTTTTTTAATCCCACAGCTATACTCCAAAAACACTCTTAGGTCAAAGGGAAAAATATTTAAGTTGTTTGGATCCATTGATGACATGCACCAGCACTCCATGGCGGGATGGGTAACCTCTGCCATGTAAAAACGTAGATGTAGATGTGGACTGACCTGGTATCCACGGGCGGTGATGGTGAGGTGTGCTTCTGGCACCATGCCATATTAGCTGCCTGCAGCCATCATATGCATAAGAGAACTCATCATCACCGATACCATACCCTTCCTGGATCAAAAAAGGTTACAAGTTATTAACTATCTACCCCGCTTTTGTTTATAATGAATTACAACACGATCAAAGGACCTAACGATCCACAGTTCTTTTCCCCTGGTCAGCTATAAATCCGCCAAAGGTGATATCAATCCACGACTCTGTCCCCTGGTCTCTGTTTAACCGAGCAGTTAAGTGGACACTATCAAGTACAGCTAAAAGTGGGGAGCTTTATGTGACAGAGAGCCTGTTCACAGGCAAGTACACCGGTGTAACCAAATAAATGGAGAAAAACCGGAGAAGACCCGGCACCAACAACTCGACTACAAAGCAAGCAAATTGATCCAGGAATTAATGTATCATTCACGGAAGGTCTTGCCAAGACTTACATGGTTGAGAAACTTGCTGTCTTTTGTGGCCCACCCAATCTGCATTACACCTGCTGTTAGGAGGATTACTTCATAATACCATACACCTGAAAACATATTAAACCTGCTATTAATTACCAAGATAGTCCATGTGGAATAGTACACAAGCAAAACATCAAAACTGATAAACCAGTAGACACAAGTCTACCTTTGTTCAGCCATTTCTAGACTGTTATTGAACATAGTGATACCACCTCTCTCATGATTTCAAATAAAACTATCATACTCACCTGAAGAGACAGAAAATGTACAACGCACACTTTCAAATGATGATGCATCACACCTTGCCTGAAATACCAAATGAGTTGTATCAAATAATTCATCAAGTTTAAACAAAGGAAATCATGACCCCGAAAATGTTTGGATAAAGCGGTTTTCACTTCAGTGACAAAAAGTAATTGGCTTTACATGAAGATGCTACATGACTAGCTTAAACATTCACACCACATCCATTAAAACCAGAATTAAAACCAAACATAAACCAATATAAATTGTGTATTTACTTTGAGTTTTGATCGTTTCATTGAAATGTCTGTGTTCCTTTTGTGATTGGCTAGTGATCACTTTGGATTTGGTTTTATGACACTCAAATGAAAACTACTCTTGACTATCTGATCTTATTAGCATAGATTTTCAAGTTCTTATTTCTCCATTTTCTCCTTAGTTTTAGTTTTGATAGGCTGCATTCAATACATCAATATTCTTACATGGCTCCAAGGTTTTAAGGTGACAAACTTCTATAATTTGGTTGTGTTCTCTTTGTATCCAAGTGGGAAATTGATGGACAAAAGAAACTTTAAAAAATTGCAATTTTGTCCTGAAAGCCTTGGAGCCATGTTAGAATATTGATATATCACAGCTTACCTACTGAGAGGATATATCAAACACTCAAGACAGTGTTTTCTCTACATTTCCAAAGATTCCAAAATTCATCAAAAATACGCTGCACTGCCAGTCACATGTATTTTCAACTCTTTTCTGGGTTTCTGGAAATGTGGTCAAACACATTCTTTCCTGCTTGATATATTACATAAAGAACAATTTAATTTCAAAATCACTTTGTTAAGTGCATGATACAATACTAAGCTCTGTAGTTGAGTGTTGGCAGCAACAGTCTGTTCAGGGACAATAAAGTGTTGTATTTGTTACAAGTCAGTTATAAGTGATCTTCATCTACCATACCATACATATCTCACCTCAAGGCCAGTGGGTGATATTTTTAGATAATCACTGACATCATTATTATTGAGCATTACATTGATCTCACTCACATCTGCTATTTCATAAGAGTAAGGACGATCCTGAAAGTAAAATGATAATAAACAATCTTTATATTACTGCAGCATCAAAACTGGATTACTACCAAGTTCTTTTGCTTAAGATTAACCTTTTCGACACAAACCAAAGGTTCAATTTATTCAAACACAAAAACACTAGTGGTGTGATTTGACAGCCATTAATAGTAATTTACATTCTGACTGGTCTTCTTCACCAGTGACCTTATTTTAACTGATTAATCTGAATTAATAAAGTTCAAAAAAAAAAATTAAGCTTTGTATCATTAGCTATTGATTTATCGCAAGCTATGAAAATTAGAAAATTATCTAGTAAAAGAGCAGTACAAAACTGCTAACTGCCACAACAAAGTTACAGCCAGTCCACTGCAGTTTAAGAACATCATTTTAAATTTAATTTATTACTTATCTTTAAAGTTACGTTAAGTTTGAAATATTACAATTGCTCAATGTCAAACTTTGACAGCGAACTGAAACTTTGCAGTGAGTTGTCATTTACTTTGACATAATTATCTTTCAATCAAGAGATTTTGTAACTGTCAGCTTACCTCAAAGCGAACTGCAAACATGGAGGATGCATGAAAAGAAAGAGAATTTCATTTCATGAAGCAATTTGACTTTGAATTGTCAACACAACCAAGATGGCCCAATGGGGCAATTATCTTACTGCAAGTACAAATATATTAATTTTTCTACAGATGGCCCTTTAAGACTTTTCAAATCAGCCCTCTGTTGTTCCTTGTAGACATCACTTCACTTAATTTGAACTGATATTTCCCCAGTATGGCCCCTGCGCTTGGTTAATAAGATATCATAGATCTTGCTTCAAATTTCCAGCCACCAGCGATGATTTAATCTCCCATCATTGTCATAAAAACTCTTCATGATGGTTTTTCAGATATACTGTAACCTCTCTCTCACAAGTGTGTTGGGCAAAAAAAAGGCAAAAAAAAAAAAATAGTGTGCAGCAGATAGGGAGAAGGGAGAATGAAAAAACAAGATGTCTCTAAATGTCATTTTCTCTCCTTCAGATTTATACATTCTCTTAGTCTCTGTAGGGGAGAGAGACATTATGATCATGCAAAGGAGACTGGGATGAGTGTTTTGTTCTGGTGCACTCCCATATTCTCCAAAGTACATTCAGCAGCTCCTGATAATAATCAATAAGGAGAGTTAATATTTTAAACAGGCTCACATATGTTGTCAAGAAGCCACTGAGAGCAAAATCCAGCCTGGTGTTGCTCAAAGTCTTTGCTTCCTAGCCATTCTTTTTCCAATTTTGCAACTATCTCTGCTATGCCAGCATCTCGAATGGTCAGCTTGTTCTCACCTGTTGATAAACAAGAAAATGATTTGAGCACCAAAAAGAAGACAACTACAGTTGGACCCTGCCAATTCGAACTCTGTTATTTCGAATTCCTGGTTATTTCGAACTCAAAATCATTTCTCTTGGATTTTTCCTTCAGTCATTTACTGTCATTCTTTCAAACTCCCACTGTTTGGAACTATTTTTCATTTCCCCGAGGGTTCCAAATAGCAGGATTCAACTGTATTTGACACCTTCCTGGTGAGTGCTCCTGTATTTCAGAGCTGGAAATAATCCTAAGTTCTACTTACTGACAATGTACTTTGGGTGGACATAATGCTTGTTACTAATAAAAGCAGATGTTTGTTTAATGTTTTAACCAAGTCTGGAGAGTTTATTAAAGAAATGCAAACCACAGGTCCATTTCATTTGTTACTTTTACCATGTTTCAAAGCAAACATGGTCTGCAAACAAGAAATGGGTAAAATTTTACTTATTTTGTCAGTCCAAGTATGAGTATTATTTCTCCATCCCTACACTTAATTGCAACTATTTCCAAGATTGCGATTCTTGAAATTTGTGGAAGAGATATTGTCAGCAAACCATACACCGCACAAACAGCTATGTATATGACTTCACTTTCCTAAGTTTCAGGACAACAACTGAAAATAAATCACTTATTTTATAACAGCATTATATGATATATAAGTTTCAGTTGAGAATTAATATCAACTGTAAGAATGACATACTTGTTTGTGCAAATTTTTCCAGGGCTAAGATTGAGTTCAGCACTACACCAGGACTTTCATCTATTGTCTGAAATTAAAAGTCTGACAATTACACTCTGGTGTCTCAAAAAGATTATTAATATCCAGAAGTACATGTTGTATTTTCTTGGCTTAGCTGAAATCTGCAAATTATAGACTGAGGTTTACTTGAAAACTAAGTCAAAAAACTAATGATAAGAAAACACTCCCGTCTGATTAGCCATACTCTAAGAAAATGATTTATGATTATTTGGGGGGCTTTTAGGTTAAAAGAAATAGATCAAGGCTGGCATCTTTTGGACACAATATTGTGGGCCATTATGAGTCAGAGGACTGAAATTTTGAAAACTCCAGTTCTTTAGTAATTATTGTGATTGTGAGACAAACTGTCATTTACTGTTTCAAATATATCTCCACCACCAAACTAAATTTGAAATACTAGAATTTGAACCGCCTCACAATTCAGAGAATAGACAGTTACAGTATCATTATAATGGGCAATATCTTAGGCATGCAATGGACTATAATAATAATAAAACATTAATTAAAGAGAATAAAGAATAAAAAGTAAAAATAACACAAGTGAAAAAAGAAAAGAGACTTAGAGCAACATGCAACGGCATCGCCTTTTGCACGCATTGCATGCCTATAACGCCAATACAGTAAGTTACATTATACATGTAAATTGTCAGAACTTGCAGCTTTTATGATTCCCAATTTAAATCCAGGAAAAGATAACTGTAAACAACGTTTCTCATCTTACCAGTCGCTGCATAAGAAAATCCAGTGTACCTTGTGTCAGCAACAGAATACTAAGTGGACCTTAAGTTGAACAAAACAAATTTCAGGATTCAAATTAATTATTCATAGAAAGGTAGAAAACTAAAAAAGGACTTTGCATCAGTCTTAAGATCCACTAACCAGCCAACTTCTCAGCTAAGCATGCCAAGACAACAGCCAGGTTGCGGCAAATTGAAGGGGTAAGGTCTCCTTCACGACAATCTTGCTCGGTATTAAATACAAGTCTTTTAAGATTCCTGGATAAGTTCAGTCTTGATGAAAGAGTCTGTATTGCATGCTTAGAGGAACACAAAACAAAAATCAGTTAAATTACCAGCATTTATAATGTATTGTGCACTGAATCGAACCCTGGGAGACTATCAACGAGTGGCAAAGCAGTGATCATGGGCAAGTCTCACTTCCATGCTATTTTGAAACCAAATAGCACACCCAACTGGTTTTTGCAGGATCTGTTTGTTTTTGTAATTTGACATGTTTGCACGTGGTGCAGCGATGCGTGAAACAGTGTGTACATATTCACAAGATGAGGAATAGCAGTGTTTTGAGAACCACGACCAAACAAGTAACATCTGTATAATGGTGTAAATGATGTATTAAATAATTTTTGGCAAGTTTGCAGTTTACATCTGTTAATAGCTGGATATGGAAAGTTCAACTTATTCAACGGTGTTTGTTCAAAAAGCAAAATATAGCAGAAAATTGAGAAAATTTAAAAAGCTCTTCAAGGGAAAGGAAAGAGCACAAGGAACTGAATGAGCGAATGATTTCTGTGGAACAGGTGAAAAGGCATCATCAAGTGAACAGGCAGACATGCTGTGATCTTTAAGCCCTGGGATATACAAATCAATCAGAGCGCATAAGGGACAAACAACAACTAAAATGGCAGCCTTTGGATATCCAAAACCTTGATCATATAAATATGCACAGACTTTAGGCACAAGTTAAAAGATGAAGGATTCCCTGCATCCAGTCAGCAGCAGCACAAACACATCTTCCTGCTTGACAAAGTGATGCAGAGCCTCTTCTTAAACAGGTTTCAACTCTAATATTCCTGAAAATTCAGTATCCAATGCATAGTGTACTGCACCTCGAAATGCCCACTCAAATTCACTGCTTCCTTCCACCAACATGGCATCGTTGTTTCTTCAAGCCAAAAAAACTGGTTTTTACTGCTTCTGGGATGCATTGTAGAGGTTTAACCAATGAGAGCCAGTGTTAGATCATTATCGCTCAAAAGGTCTGGCACTAGGTATGAAGACCAATTAGCGAATGAGTTCAATATCTGTATTCATGGAAGTGAGGCTTGTAACTGCCCGTACCAGAGGTTTTTTTCTGCGCTCGCCACGATCTCGATTGCTACAATCGTGATCGCGGCTTTACCACTCACTGATAGCGGCTCCGCCACACAAAAAAATCCTCTAGTACCCAGGGTAACTGAATTGTTCTGAGACCCACAGAAAATACATGTTGAGTTCATTGTAATTTAGTTAAATGTAACATTTGCAATTCACAACTGGTACTGACAGTCTGTGGCCAGAAAATACATTTTTCATAAGATCTTGGTTATGTGGCTTGGAGGTTAACTTGGCCAGTACACCACAATCCAGCAGTAGGCTGGATTGCGGTAGAACATTGTAGGTAGTAAAGGGCACAGATGTAGTACTGCTATTAGTCAGGATCAGTGTATGGATGACTACTGTGCAAGATGGCTTTTTCCAAACTGGTTCACAAAAGCTCATTTGGCCCTACAAACGGGTCATCTAGTGGTATGATAACAAATCCGGGGTCGGATTAAATCAAGCATTTACCCTTGTAGGAAGTGGACACTCATCAAGAAGGAGACAGACAACAGCAGCTCCAAGTGAATCTTCCAGAGGAATAGCAAATATACAGGACTTGACAACATTAAGCCATCCCTCCTCTGCTCAACAACAATATAATAACATTATCACAAGTGACAAATTATTGTCAAAAAATGATTGTTTTGAAGCATTTAGACAGTAAATTGTGCTGGAAATAATTCAATTTATTACATAGCAGGACATATGTCTTAATTTTCAAATCTCTATTTTGGACATAAGTCCTTTCAAATCCTATTTTTGGCCAGACACATTTATTTATTAATCTCCAATCACAATGTAAAATCTTTTGGACAAATTCACAAACTTGGTTGGACAAATTATGTCTGTTGGCCAACTCTTACTTTGAGTACTGGAAATCACACAAGTGGTGCATATCTTGGATATTACATGTACCTTCTTCGGCTAAGGAGTGTAGAATTGTCATGCACTCCGGAGGCTCCATGTTACTGCAAAAAAAAAAAAGGAAAAGAAAATGTCTTTCTTATGAACAAGCGTATCAAATGCTTGTTTTGGTTAAAACTGACCCACATAGAAGTACAATATGGCCATCAAGTCTCTGACAAAATAGAATGCCAGTTGTTACATTGCAGTTGAACTTCTACAAATGGCCACCTTTCTACAATGGCCACTTTGTTGACCACGCAGATGGTCCATACAATTTAAATCCAGTCTTATTTTAATTGCTCTACAATGGCCTGTTAGCTCTCCACGATAAAAATGGGCACTAAACATAGTAATAAGCACATTCCAACAACCGAAATAAACACTCAACAACAGCCAGATAATCAACAACTGATGAATGTTAAATGTTGGTTTCACACACAGTACCCACATACATTGATGGCTTGCTTATATAAATATTGAAACAATAGCTTTTATGTGATTGGCCGTCTTGCACATAACTCACACGCAGATATAGTTACAACACTATAAATATCTTAGCCTCACCATGGGACATCTGCAACGTTTTTTTCAAAAACTTACCAATGCCCCATAAATGCCTGGGAGGGGGATGGAGGGGCTTAGAGTTGACAGAGCCATAAACACAACAAAAAAACTGCTATGATTTCAGAGGTTATATCTGCATATTTCATATCAATACATAATTATTGAGACATTATTGTGGTATTTGAATAGCTTCTAACAATTTTCATGAGATGCAATAGTGTATGATGTATAAATTTGTCTGACAGATACACTTATCATTAAGTTAATTGTATCTATAACAAAATTCTTGATTGTGATTGGTTCCCTGCGTGCCTATTTGTCATGTAATCGGCTCAAGATCTTGTGGGTGTCCAATATTTATTACAAGTATCTAATTTGAACTTTTTGAAATTGGATACCTGTAATTGGATACCCACATGATTTGCACGTTAATTACACGTACTTTAATGACTTCCTTCGCACTATTTCCTACGATTTTCAAAACTTATGAAAAGCACTACAGAGATGTTCACTTAAAAGAGGTTTTCAAAAGACCTTTTTAATTCTGAAATTTGTTATGGATACGATTAATTAGTAATTGGACCTCATGTCGTACAATTCAGGGTGAAATTGTGCTAGTAATTTCAAATCGGTAATTTCAAATTGCACTCGTTCGATTTTGAAATTACTTGTGCAATTTCTGCCTGAATTGTACTCCACTCGGTCCAATTACTATTACTAATTGAATAGGCCTTTTTCAACAGTTGGCCATGTGATAACTGTCATAAAATTTTCGCCTTTGGGTTTAAAAGGCTACAAATTTCCATTCTTGCTTTTATTTTACCCCTCTTTCTATCTCTAATAGTTATACAGTGTATGCCAACAGCTTCTTTATGTTATGATTAATAATGGGAAAGGTTTCTGGAGGGCAAAGCTTCCTCACTTTCATACAAAACATTCTAATTTTTGCAAAATTCAAATCCTCATTAAATCTCAACCTACCATGGCATTACTCTCAAAACTGGTTTTCTGGCTATTTACAACATGCTCTTTCCAGTTCTGAAATTCATACAGCTGTAGCTCAATTTTAGAAATCATCTGTCACGTGACCAACTGTTGCAAAAGGCCTCTTCAATATTATGACAGCTGGGCATATGAAAAAGTGTAGACCTTCTGAAAAGTCCTTCGTCTTGTTTGTTCAGTACCTGCCAGATGAAGGACTCTTCCTGCTTGATTGCCACCAATTTTAGCGACCCAATAGACTGTTCACAGTCCCCTATTTTTCCGTGAGATCGTAGATGTTGATCTTTGAGCTCAACGGGCCGCCATCTTGGTCTCTTCATGCGAGCGAAACTGGAGAGAGTACAAAATGCCCGTGGGTAGGGGTGGTGGAGGGCACAGCTGACGGAAAAAATAGGGAGACTGTAACAGCTTCACTCTGTCTCGTGTTCAAGGGGCACGGCCGCCAGTTTGGCGCCTCCGTTAATCAAATCAATTAACAATCTCCTCCCTTGAGAAAAGACCTGTCAAATCAGGGTTGATTATATGAATACATGTTACTGTGCTGTGAATTTCGAAACATTTTGAAGGTTTAATAAGTTGAGTCGAATGAATGCGGGACGGGAGAACTCTTCTCTGACTCCAAAAAAACCGGCAAAGCCCGCAGAGAATTCCAATTATTCAGATGCGTGCCATCTTTGTGGCACTAATTGTAAAATTTCAGTCGGAAATAAGAACAACCAACGGAGCTTTCAGCCATTTCCTTCNTAAAAGTCTGACAATTACACTCTGGTGTCTCAAAAAGATTATTAATATCCAGAAGTACATGTTGTATTTTCTTGGCTTAGCTGAAATCTGCAAATTATAGACTGAGGTTTACTTGAAAACTAAGTCAAAAAACTAATGATAAGAAAACACTCCCGTCTGATTAGCCATACTCTAAGAAAATGATTTATGATTATTTGGGGGGCTTTTAGGTTAAAAGAAATAGATCAAGGCTGGCATCTTTTGGACACAATATTGTGGGCCATTATGAGTCAGAGGACTGAAATTTTGAAAACTCCAGTTCTTTAGTAATTATTGTGATTGTGAGACAAACTGTCATTTACTGTTTCAAATATATCTCCACCACCAAACTAAATTTGAAATACTAGAATTTGAACCGCCTCACAATTCAGAGAATAGACAGTTACAGTATCATTATAATGGGCAATATCTTAGGCATGCAATGGACTATAATAATAATAAAACATTAATTAAAGAGAATAAAGAATAAAAAGTAAAAATAACACAAGTGAAAAAAGAAAAGAGACTTAGAGCAACATGCAACGGCATCGCCTTTTGCACGCATTGCATGCCTATAACGCCAATACAGTAAGTTACATTATACATGTAAATTGTCAGAACTTGCAGCTTTTATGATTCCCAATTTAAATCCAGGAAAAGATAACTGTAAACAACGTTTCTCATCTTACCAGTCGCTGCATAAGAAAATCCAGTGTACCTTGTGTCAGCAACAGAATACTAAGTGGACCTTAAGTTGAACAAAACAAATTTCAGGATTCAAATTAATTATTCATAGAAAGGTAGAAAACTAAAAAAGGACTTTGCATCAGTCTTAAGATCCACTAACCAGCCAACTTCTCAGCTAAGCATGCCAAGACAACAGCCAGGTTGCGGCAAATTGAAGGGGTAAGGTCTCCTTCACGACAATCTTGCTCGGTATTAAATACAAGTCTTTTAAGATTCCTGGATAAGTTCAGTCTTGATGAAAGAGTCTGTATTGCATGCTTAGAGGAACACAAAACAAAAATCAGTTAAATTACCAGCATTTATAATGTATTGTGCACTGAATCGAACCCTGGGAGACTATCAACGAGTGGCAAAGCAGTGATCATGGGCAAGTCTCACTTCCATGCTATTTTGAAACCAAATAGCACACCCAACTGGTTTTTGCAGGATCTGTTTGTTTTTGTAATTTGACATGTTTGCACGTGGTGCAGCGATGCGTGAAACAGTGTGTACATATTCACAAGATGAGGAATAGCAGTGTTTTGAGAACCACGACCAAACAAGTAACATCTGTATAATGGTGTAAATGATGTATTAAATAATTTTTGGCAAGTTTGCAGTTTACATCTGTTAATAGCTGGATATGGAAAGTTCAACTTATTCAACGGTGTTTGTTCAAAAAGCAAAATATAGCAGAAAATTGAGAAAATTTAAAAAGCTCTTCAAGGGAAAGGAAAGAGCACAAGGAACTGAATGAGCGAATGATTTCTGTGGAACAGGTGAAAAGGCATCATCAAGTGAACAGGCAGACATGCTGTGATCTTTAAGCCCTGGGATATACAAATCAATCAGAGCGCATAAGGGACAAACAACAACTAAAATGGCAGCCTTTGGATATCCAAAACCTTGATCATATAAATATGCACAGACTTTAGGCACAAGTTAAAAGATGAAGGATTCCCTGCATCCAGTCAGCAGCAGCACAAACACATCTTCCTGCTTGACAAAGTGATGCAGAGCCTCTTCTTAAACAGGTTTCAACTCTAATATTCCTGAAAATTCAGTATCCAATGCATAGTGTACTGCACCTCGAAATGCCCACTCAAATTCACTGCTTCCTTCCACCAACATGGCATCGTTGTTTCTTCAAGCCAAAAAAACTGGTTTTTACTGCTTCTGGGATGCATTGTAGAGGTTTAACCAATGAGAGCCAGTGTTAGATCATTATCGCTCAAAAGGTCTGGCACTAGGTATGAAGACCAATTAGCGAATGAGTTCAATATCTGTATTCATGGAAGTGAGGCTTGTAACTGCCCGTACCAGAGGTTTTTTTCTGCGCTCGCCACGATCTCGATTGCTACAATCGTGATCGCGGCTTTACCACTCACTGATAGCGGCTCCGCCACACAAAAAAATCCTCTAGTACCCAGGGTAACTGAATTGTTCTGAGACCCACAGAAAATACATGTTGAGTTCATTGTAATTTAGTTAAATGTAACATTTGCAATTCACAACTGGTACTGACAGTCTGTGGCCAGAAAATACATTTTTCATAAGATCTTGGTTATGTGGCTTGGAGGTTAACTTGGCCAGTACACCACAATCCAGCAGTAGGCTGGATTGCGGTAGAACATTGTAGGTAGTAAAGGGCACAGATGTAGTATTGCTATTAGTCAGGATCAGTGTATGGATGACTACTGTGCAAGATGGCTTTTTCCAAACTGGTTCACAAAAGCTCATTTGGCCCTACAAACGGGTCATCTAGTGGTATGATAACAAATCCGGGGTCGGATTAAATCAAGCATTTACCCTTGTAGGAAGTGGACACTCATCAAGAAGGAGACAGACAACAGCAGCTCCAAGTGAATCTTCCAGAGGAATAGCAAATATACAGGACTTGACAACATTAAGCCATCCCTCCTCTGCTCAACAACAATATAATAACATTATCACAAGTGACAAATTATTGTCAAAAAATGATTGTTTTGAAGCATTTAGACAGTAAATTGTGCTGGAAATAATTCAATTTATTACATAGCAGGACATATGTCTTAATTTTCAAATCTCTATTTTGGACATAAGTCCTTTCAAATCCTATTTTTGGCCAGACACATTTATTTATTAATCTCCAATCACAATGTAAAATCTTTTGGACAAATTCACAAACTTGGTTGGACAAATTATGTCTGTTGGCCAACTCTTACTTTGAGTACTGGAAATCACACAAGTGGTGCATATCTTGGATATTACATGTACCTTCTTCGGCTAAGGAGTGTAGAATTGTCATGCACTCCGGAGGCTCCATGTTACTGCAAAAAAAAAAAAGGAAAAGAAAATGTCTTTCTTATGAACAAGCGTATCAAATGCTTGTTTTGGTTAAAACTGACCCACATAGAAGTACAATATGGCCATCAAGTCTCTGACAAAATAGAATGCCAGTTGTTACATTGCAGTTGAACTTCTACAAATGGCCACCTTTCTACAATGGCCACTTTGTTGACCACGCAGATGGTCCATACAATTTAAATCCAGTCTTATTTTAATTGCTCTACAATGGCCTGTTAGCTCTCCACGATAAAAATGGGCACTAAACATAGTAATAAGCACATTCCAACAACCGAAATAAACACTCAACAACAGCCAGATAATCAACAACTGATGAATGTTAAATGTTGGTTTCACACACAGTACCCACATACATTGATGGCTTGCTTATATAAATATTGAAACAATAGCTTTTATGTGATTGGCCGTCTTGCACATAACTCACACGCAGATATAGTTACGACACTATAAATATCTTAGCCTCACCATGGGACATCTGCAACGTTTTTTTCAAAAACTTACCAATGCCCCATAAATGCCTGGGAGGGGGATGGAGGGGCTTAGAGTTGACAGAGCCATAAACACAACAAAAAAACTGCTATGATTTCAGAGGTTATATCTGCATATTTCATATCAATACATAATTATTGAGACATTATTGTGGTATTTGAATAGCTTCTAACAATTTTCATGAGATGCAATAGTGTATGATGTATAAATTTGTCTGACAGATACACTTATCATTAAGTTAATTGTATCTATAACAAAATTCTTGATTGTGATTGGTTCCCTGCGTGCCTATTTGTCATGTAATCGGCTCAAGATCTTGTGGGTGTCCAATATTTATTACAAGTATCTAATTTGAACTTTTTGAAATTGGATACCTGTAATTGGATACCCACATGATTTGCACGTTAATTACACGTACTTTAATGACTTCCTTCGCACTATTTCCTACGATTTTCAAAACTTATGAAAAGCACTACAGAGATGTTCACTTAAAAGAGGTTTTCAAAAGACCTTTTTAATTCTGAAATTTGTTATGGATACGATTAATTAGTAATTGGACCTCATGTCGTACAATTCAGGGTGAAATTGTGCTAGTAATTTCAAATCGGTAATTTCAAATTGCACTCGTTCGATTTTGAAATTACTTGTGCAATTTCTGCCTGAATTGTACTCCACTCGGTCCAATTACTATTACTAATTGAATAGGCCTTTTTCAACAGTTGGCCATGTGATAACTGTCATAAAATTTTCGCCTTTGGGTTTAAAAGGCTACAAATTTCCATTCTTGCTTTTATTTTACCCCTCTTTCTATCTCTAATAGTTATACAGTGTATGCCAACAGCTTCTTTATGTTATGATTAATAATGGGAAAGGTTTCTGGAGGGCAAAGCTTCCTCACTTTCATACAAAACATTCTAATTTTTGCAAAATTCAAATCCTCATTAAATCTCAACCTACCATGGCATTACTCTCAAAACTGGTTTTCTGGCTATTTACAACATGCTCTTTCCAGTTCTGAAATTCATACAGCTGTAGCTCAATTTTAGAAATCATCTGTCACGTGACCAACTGTTGCAAAAGGCCTCTTCAATATTATGACAGCTGGGCATATGAAAAAGTGTAGACCTTCTGAAAAGTCCTTCGTCTTGTTTGTTCAGTACCTGCCAGATGAAGGACTCTTCCTGCTTGATTGCCACCAATTTTAGCGACCCAATAGACTGTTCACAGTCCCCTATTTTTCCGTGAGATCGTAGATGTTGATCTTTGAGCTCAACGGGCCGCCATCTTGGTCTCTTCATGCGAGCGAAACTGGAGAGAGTACAAAATGCCCGTGGGTAGGGGTGGTGGAGGGCACAGCTGACGGAAAAAATAGGGAAACCCTTTTTATACTTCCATCGACGATTAATCGACGAAAGTTTAACTCTGTTCACTTTTAAATGGCAAGGAAAGTCACTGTAAGTAAATTCAATTGAGTATTTTGAAGTTGTGAGAATTTGTTTCGTTGTTTGTAGCTCGGCGCTGTAATGGCGCGTAGTCCTGTGTTTTTCTCGCCGCACAATTTTACGCAAAAAAGTCAATTGCCGTCAAGTTTACCTCGTTGATCGTTGCTATTTATTTAAAAGAATTTCTGTGGAATACACTTAACAAATTTCCTCGCTTTCTGCTACTCAATTTACGATAAAAAAGTCCGATTTCGAGTGATTCGCAGCGACTCTTAGAAATTGTTTTTGTGGTACAACTTCAAACTTTGCTCGAAATTCCACACCAGGAAAACAATTTTCGAGAACTGAACTGGTGAACTAGGTGCAACTAACTAAAGTAGTTCGAAATTAATTTGTTCCTTAATACATCTTTATTTGTCTAGTATCTGAGTTACTTGCTCGTTCACTCGTTAATTTTTTTGCGATGGTTTGTACACGGCACGTAAGCCAATTCAACGACAAAGTTGCGTAAACAAACCTGCTTGTAAGCCAATTTACCGCAGGAAAAAAAAATTATTTTCCGGCTTAGGGTCGGTCCGTAAGTGAAAAACTGTGACCTCGGGCTTTTCAAGACCTCGGTCACAATTTTTCACTTTTCGAACCGACCCTAAGCCGGAAAATAGCATATATTTCTCGTGACAAGGCCCAGCTGGCTGAGGTCACATTAAAAAAAGAGTTCAACTCTCGGTACACCAACATGGCGACAATTTCATTGTTTCGGTACACCAATATGGCCAGCCTATTTTTTTTTAGCCTGTTTAACTCGGTTTTACAAATTAGGAAAGATGCACGTGTTCTCTTGTAATTTTAGTCCTCCTTACGGAAGTCCAGTCCACTTGAAATTGCCATTTGATTTTAAAAGTTAAATTACATATCTACGTCATTCCGAGAGCCTCTCCCACCTCTTCTCGATCCGGTCGCTGTTGTCTCCTGCGTGCGAACGAAACCAAACTTGTTACGTGTATTAGGTAAGAATCTTTTGATTTCTTTTCTGTTGTTAAGTTTGTCTACTCATCATTGTAGACCAAATTTGTATTCATTGGAAGGAGTTTTTAGGCTCCGTCCGATGAGCAAGTGGCCATTTCGAGTGAACATTCAACTCATGGCGCAGATTGAGTAACGTTAGAACATCGAGACGACATTTTTGAATGCTAATGTAACTATTACATTCGAACTGGTGTAGTTTTGTGCATTTGTAGCTTTGAGGAGTTGGACAAATGTCTGTGACTACAGTCTTGTCGGGCAGTTCACTCTACTTCTCTTTTAATACGCTTCGTTGAAAGTTGAATAAACTAAGGGCGCTGTGGAGTTAAGATATTTTGGTCATAGCGTTGCCACAACCGTGGTTCTACATTTTTCACGGCTCAACGACATTTCTTTCGGTTCCGAATGCAACAATGTAGTTCTATACTGTAAAACCAGCCAAATACTCGAGGTTGCACGTCCAATTCTGTCGACAGTGCTTGCATTAATTCACTGAATTGATAATTTATTAGCTTGCATGCATGGCGGGTCCCTTGCTAATACACTATTTAAGGGCCGCGGGGTGCGTTCCATTCCACCAAAAATTCTGGTTTGAATATCCAGACATATCCCTTGGCGAATGGAACATCGTATTGCTGAAATTTTGGAGAGGAGGATAACCTTGCAATGTAATACCCAAATTTTCAAAAATTTTCTCAAATGAATTTTCCGTTCAATGGTTGGTATATTTCAAAATTTTACAAATCTCTGATTTTGTTTGAAAACTTCCCAGGAAATCTCCATGCCATTTGCTCTAATTTTGAAAAATCTGGAATTTGGTCAAATGGAAAGCCCCATAGATCACTGGATTTGCGATTCCCAGCAAAGTCAATCAAAGCCAATCAAACTTAATTGAACTCAGTCCATGGATGGAGGTCTTTTGGTAATCAAAGGAAGTCATACTTAGACAAAAAAAATAATTGGACAATTGTTAGTTTTCTCTGGTTGTGCCATCAAAACTAAAATCGTAACCATTCAATGAATAAAGTCAAGAATCTGACATATGATAGATGATTGATATATGAACCATCTCATCAAGAATTAGGCTTCTGCAGTTTTTCATTCGCACATTACTCGGAAAAGTGTTTCACCCAAATTTAAAGAGCTTTGCATGGAGATGCCATAGGAGAGCGCCAAGACGGCGGTCGTAAAGTAACAGAAACATGTGTCTTTGAGTTTTGCTATTGAAACGAAAAGTTATAGCTCTAGAGCCCCGACATGTTGAACTTATTACTTCTTCTAGTGCAAGAATTGTTCAGTTAGCAAAAACTAAAGTGAACATGCTCTATTACAAAAATTATTAAATGTGCTCTATTACAAAGCAAAGAACCTTTTCGAGCTAAAACATTGTAAAATGTCAAGTTCCTGATAAATCTAAAACCTCTTGAGGGAAAGGTAATTTATAATATTGGAATAGTTATGACTATGTCACATGAAAACCAAGAATAGAACTCAATCAGACGTTTTGATTTCTGAACTCTTGATTTTTGTTGAACTGGTGTTGAAAATGAATGAAACATTTTTTGAAGCTTGAGCTACTGGTAGAATACATATTTTTGGTGACCACATCACAATGATCTTTCTTCAAGTGCATTTATTCATGGAAAATAACCAAAGGCTTTCATGGGTCGTGTTCCATTGAGTTTGCTTGACAGAAGTAACATAACTCAGTTTCCAAAAAGTTATCTATTTGCAAGCTCTTGATAGTTTTTTTGGACAGTCACTGATTCAGAGTGGTGATTATTACACTGTACTTGCAAACCCTGCAAGAAAAACACCTTTGTCCAAGAAAAATTGGTATCATAATGAATACGAGAGCTCAGATTCCCTTCTCTTTCTGCTCAGTGAGAGACTAGAAGCAACCACTGCTAGCAACCATGTGATTGTTTGATCAGCTGCTGTCCACAGTCCAGTGTTTTCATTACTTTTGAAAGTAGAAGTTGCATTGTGTTAGCCATTGTGCTAAAAGC